GCCCAAGTCTGAGTCTCCTGTGTGGTGAAGAACTGTAGGTGCTGCCTGCCCGTGTCTGCATGAGCAGCAAGCTGGAGCCGGAGCTAATCCCTGCTTTGTTACTTCCTCTGAGACAAAAAACACTTGGAATTGTCAATGTACTTCTCAGGATTTCTCTTGTTCAATAGTCTAAGATTTTTTCTGCCTACCAACTGAATTCCCAGAGGAGACTGTTGTGTCATATTGCATAAGCTTAATCCTAACCCCTGACCCTCAACTCTCTGTAAATTTATATTTTTACTTAGGTTTTTTTGTAACCTTTCAGTACAAGTAGTTAAATATTGACTGGTTGTCACCTTTTGATTACTTTTGTAATCATTGGCGAGAGAAAGATCAAAGCTAGCTAACTGCTATGATGCACAAAGCTTTGTTGGCACAGCGCGGCGTGCCCCTCTGCAGTGTCTGTGGCAGTGCGCCTGGCCGTGCGGTGCTCCAGAAATGGGAGTTGTGCTTTCTGTCCTCCATGAGACAGCGGGTGAACTGCAGCGCTCTGCAAGCCCAAGGATGAAAGGGTAGGGGCATCCAGGCCAAAGTAGTGGAGCAGAGATTGTACGGGTGAGGGAATGCCATGAGGACTGGCAGACTTACAGGCAGACTGGTGGTTTGTGGGGGTAAAGGCAGGAAGGTAAAGGGCCCGGCTTGGTGGCCTATTGGCTAAAATCCTTGTCTTGCATGCACCGGGATTCAATATGGGTGCCAGTTCTAATCCCAGCAGCCCTGCTTCCCATCCAGCTGCATGCTTGAGGCCTGGGAAAGCAGCAGAGGACAGCCCGAAGCCTTGGGATCCTGCACCCGCATGGGAGACCCAGAGGAAGAAATTCCTGGCTCCTGACTTCGGATCAGCACAGCACCAGCCGTTGTGGCAGCTTGGGGAATGAATCATTGGACGGAAGATCTTCCTCTCTGTATATCTGACTTTGCAATAACAATAAAATAAATCTAAAAAAGAAAAAAAAACAGGCAGGAAGGTAAAGGGCTTTGGCTGGGGGACAGCATTCCACAGTTACTAGTTGTGGACAACACCAGAAGGAAGGGCTTGTTGAACGTGCAGGGGCAGGCCCCGGTGGGGCAGGTGATTGGGTGGACTGGGAGACCATGGACAAGGGCAGACAGCCCTTACTTAACTTTTTTTTTTTTTTAAGATTTGTTTTGTTTTGTTTGATAGGTAGAGTTACAGAGAGCGGGGAGGGACAGCTTTTCCATTCGCTGGCTCATTTGCTAACTGTCTGCTATGGCCAGAGCTGGGCCAGTCCAAAGCCAGGAGCAGCTTCTGGGTCTCCCACTTGGGTGCAGGGGCCCAAGAACCTGGTCCATTCTTCACTGCTTTCACACACTATAAACAGGGAGCTGGATGGGAAGTGGAGCAGCTGGGACACAAAGCTGGTGCCCGTATGGGATGCTTGTGACAGGCGGAGGCTTAGTCTGCCACCACTGCCCCTTTCTTAAGTTGAAGAATATGCCTAATCTTAGGCTAGCTGTATTCTCTCCTTTAGGGTCTCTCTCCCTGTGGGAGGAAAACAGGCTAAAGAGAATTCCAGAAGACTGAATGCCAAGATAAACCAGCCTTAGCGTCTGCTAATAACCTTGAACATAACCCTGACTGAGCTGTGTGGCAGTGGGGACTGCATGGGAAAGCTTAGAATTTCCCAGAGGCAGTTGGGGAATTTTGCAGGACCTCAAAATCTGTGAAAAAATTTCCTAGGAGAAGAAAGGGGTAGCAGCATTCTCCTGGTATTGGTTGAAGGATGTGAGGCGCAACAGGTGTAGCCAGGCAAGTCGTGTGTCTAAGAGCAGAAGCCGCGTATGTAGCCCTACAGTTCTGTTGAAATGAAGTTCAGTAACAGGCAAAGCTAACTCATGTTGACTTCAAAACAATGGTTCCTAGTACGTTGTGGAGTGTTGAAGGGGTGGCTGTGCACCTGTGTGGATGGCAGGACCCAAGCAGTTGGGTCATCTGTTCTCCCAGGTCCCTTAGCAGGAAGCTGGGTCAGAAACAGCATCCGGGCCTCAGTTTGCACTCGGATAGTGGATGCAGGCCTTGGCGTGCCTTGAGCGGCCGTGCCATGGCCCCGGCCTGTGGAGAGAAGGGAGTGTACCTTAGAGCTGCGTCTTGGAGCTCCTGAGCCTTTGCGGCCTACACAGTGGCAGGTCCCTCCAGTGTGCGACAGTGTGTGACAATGTGCCTCTGCAGTTCTTGCTGCCAGGCCAGCCAATCTGCTATATTTGGAAGTGTAATTAAAATTCTTATCATCAGACTTTTGTTGGCTTTAGTTATTTTCGGGTTAAGTGCAGTGTCCTCCTGAGGGATGGCCTCAGTAGATGTGAGAAGGCCTGAAGTGCAGGGAAGAGTGGAGCTGGTGCAGACTCTGCCCTTTCTGGCTTGCTGTGAGTGGGCTGTGGGGGCCCAGTTCTGCTGTGAGTGGGCTGTGGGGGGCCCGGTTCTGCTGTGAGTGGGCTGCGGGGGGCCCTTTCTGCTGTGAGTGGGCTGCGGGGGGCCCTTTCTGCTGTGAGTGGGCTGCGGGGGGCCCTTTCTGCTGTGAGTGGGCTGCGGGGGGGGCCCTCTGCTGTAAGAAGACAGTCTAAGTGCAGGATCATCAGCTCTGTGTGTGTGTGTGTGTGTGTGTGTGTGTGTGTGTCCGTGCTTTTGGTTGCAAAATAATTCATTTAATTGCTGCAGAGTTCTGTATGTTTGGTGCAGTTTTATTTCAGTGACTGACACTATTAGATTTATTAGAGATGTAAGTACATATTACTGTTTAAACTTTAGATACTGTAGAGCAGATGACCACTTCTTAGGAAAGAGTGCCACTTTCTGTGTTGTAGCAGGTGCTCATGTTTGCATGGATTCAGTCGCAGGAGGATTAGTGATCTATGAGGGAACATCAGAAAATTTATGGGAAAATAGAATTAAGATAGTCTCATTTTTGTGTAAAAAATGAGATCCATGTGTGTTTGTTTTTTTTTTTTTTGATAACATACATTTTCAGTGAACTTTTGAGGATCCCTTGCAATGGATTTTAAACATTTTTGCAATGATATAAACTTTTTCGTTCTGTGTTCCTGTGGACCTTTTGAGGGACTGTGGAAGGGTGGGGCAGAAGTTGCATCTTAGTTCTGTTGCCAGAGTAGTGGTCCTTTTTGTAGTACAGATGGGCCAAGATGGTGCTTTTAGGTTTGCCCCTGGATGAAGTGTGACCTGCTGGCAGGGGCTTCCGGGAGGCATCCCTGGGTGGCTAGTTGGTTGCTCCAGGAGCTTTGTAGCCGTCCCTCTGCCCCCGTCCTGGCTGCCATTTCAGACAGCAAATGCAGACTGCCAGGCAGCAGCTGCACTCAGGGGCTCCCTTGTCACGGCACTGCCTTGGGAACTTCCTTCACACCCACAGCCTTTATCTCGTGGAGATCTTGACCTAGAGGCCACTGGTGTACCCTGCTTGGGAGAGAGCCTATTCAGATCTCATGTGCAGGATGCCTGCGTCGGGGGTTGGGACAAGGGGTCTTGGGTTTTGGAAGAAAATTAGACAAATTCCCTAGCACTTTTTTTTTTTTTTTTTTTAGGATTCACTAGTTTTTTCCCCCTGATTACTGGAAAGTTAGATATACAGAGAGGAGGAGAGACAGAAAGATCTTTCATCTGCTGAGTCACTTCCAGGTGGCTGCAATGGCCAGAGCTGAGCCAATCTGAAGCCAGGAACTTCTTCCAGGTGTCTCATTTGGATACAGGGTTCCTAGGCTTTAGAGCATCATCAGCTGCTTTCCCAGGCCACAAGCAGGGAACTGGATGGGAAGAAGCGCCTCTGGGACATGGCCTGGTCCCAGAGGCCTGGTTCCACTAGGGCCCATATGAGATCTCAGCACAAGACAAGGACTTCAGCCACTAGACTACTGCACTGGGCCCTCCCTAACACATCTTTGAGCTATAAATGTCGTAAACATTTGTCTAGACAGTCTAATCTGTCTCTTAGGATTTATAGTTACTATTACTGGAAAGGTACTTTTTTTTTTTAAGAAGTGATTATATATTTAAAGATTTATTTATTAAAAGGTAAAGCAACATAAGAGGAAGAAGCAGAGATCTTCTTTCCACTGGTTAATTCCCCAAATGGCTGCTATAGCCAGGGCTGGGCCAGGCCTCTGGGTACCTCTGTGGGTGACAGGGCCAGGCCTCTGGGTACCCCTGTGGGTGACAGGGCCAGGCCTCTGGGTACCTCTGTGGGTGACAGGGCCAGGCCTCTGGGTACCTCTGTGGGTGACAGGGCCAGGCCTCTGGGTACCCCTGTGGGTGACCAGGCCAGGCCTCTGGGTACCCCTGAGTGACAGGGCCAGGCCTCTGGGTACCCCTGAGTGACAGGGCCAGGCCTCTGGGTACCCCTGTGGGTGACAGGGCCAGGCCTCTGGGTACCTCTGTGGGTGACCGGGCCAGGCCTCTGGGTACCCCTGTGGGTGACAGGGCCAGGCCTCTGGGTACCCCTGTGGGTGACAGGGCCAGGCCTCTGGGTACCCCTGTGAATGACTGGGACCTGAACACTTGAGCCATCATTTGTGGTCTACTCAGACTCAATAGCAGGAAACAGAAGTGGGAGTGGAGCAGCCAGGACTTCAACTGGCAATCTAGTATGGGGTGCCAGCATTACAAGTGGTGGCTCAACCTGCCACCCTTAAAGCAGAGTGGTTGGTGTGTGTATAATGTATACGTGTCGCGGAGCAGATGCTCAGTAACTATGACCGGTGCGCTCTTTGTGATGAGTAACCTTGTGAAGAGGAATGCACTTTTGTTGCAGAGACTACAGAGCAGACTTCCCCTGTTTGCCTCCAGATGCTACCCTGACATTGCTTCTTCTGGAAGGAAACGTGAGGCTCTGAGATCCGTGAAGACCAGGACACTGTGGACTTTGTTTTCTTGCTGGTTTTTGGCCCTTAGTAATGTGGTTTTTCTGCCTTTCTCCCCATCCTCTTCTTTGCAGTCAGAAAATGGGAAAGAAGAGTCGAGTGAAAACTCAGAAATCAGGTCCTGGTGCAACAGCAGCTGCGTCACCCAAGGAGATCTTGAACCTGACCAGCGAGTTGCTGCAGAGTGAGTCTCACAAGGGGCACTCTGACGGGGCAGAGGTTGGTGCTGGTGTAACCTACTGTGCCGCAGCACTGGCCCTGGCTCATGTCTTCAACACTGGGTGCTTGTTGGGGGAAGAGCAGAGTCCATCTGGTTAGCTTGGTAGTTGTCAGTCAACACCTGATTACTTCACGTCTTGAGGGGGAGGGGCCTGGAGACTTGCCTGGCGCCTGGGAGGGGCCATCTGACGTGGCTGTGAGTGTTGATCATGGCCGGGCGGCCAGCTGCAGGGTCTCCTGGGTGCAGCCTTCAGAATTGCCTCTTTGGCAGTAGTGCTGGTACCTTCTTTTTGTTATTCGCCCCAGAGCACTCATGCCAGGGGCGGAAGGTGTTTGTTGACTAATTGTCCTTGTGTCCAACTTCGCTGGTCCCCTTGGAGAGCCATTGTTACCGAGAGTAACCAGAAAGGAGTTGGACCTGTAATGTTTTCTTTTTTTTAAACTAGCTCATAAGAGTTTTGGGGAAATATTTTGTATTTTAACTTAGCTTTTTTAATTCCCCTGTTTATAATTGTGTTCTGAGCAGCAAGGTTCAGTTAGATGCCAGCTAAGCATTCTCGCTTGGGTGCAGAACATGGTCATAAGAGGCACGTTTAGGGCTCCTGGGGGTTTGTGTGTTGGGAGGTGTACTGACCTGTCCCCTGCCTGCCACCGGCTTGTCGGGGAGCGAGGGCTCACGGCAGCTGCAGCACCCTGCATGCGCTGTGCGGCTGGGCCGCAGGAGCAGCGGGAGTAAGCCCTGACTCTCGATTCCAGAGTGCAGCAGTCCTGCTCCTAGCCCTGGGAAGGAATGGGAAGAGTACGTGCAGATCCGGGCACTGGTGGAGAAAATACGGAAAAAGCAAAAAGGTAAATGTCACCAGAGTGAGAATCTTGTTTTCAGGATGTCATGTGGAAACTTGTCATAAGTCAGAAGGGTTCTGAGTGTAGTGAGGGATCAGTGTCGTGTGTGCTCTCTGCAAGGTGGCTGTGGCAGTAGCTTCCAGGTGGGAAAGTCATCAGACTGGGCGTTGCCGGGATCGCCTTACTCCAGGGATGCCTCTACCTGCCTCAGAGAGGGCAAACGTGTACCTCTGGAAACTGAAGGGACACGGCCCTTATGAGTATTTGAATATGCTTCATACTGTATTTCCTTCTGAGCTCCATAATCATGCGTGATGAGCATGTGTCTGCTGGCTGGGTGGTGTCGCTGCCACGTGTTACTGCTGGGCTCTGGCCTACACGGTTCCCTGAGATATGGGGCTGCAGAGTCTGAACCTGTGTTTTGGGGTGCATTTGGTCGTTGGCTCGTTGGTTGTGAATGTTGTTGTGCAGAGCCACAGGGACGGCAGAGGGGGAAATGTAAGAAGTGGTGTGCCCTGAAAACGAGGAAGTGTTCTCCTTTCTTGTCGTCGAGGGAGTCAGGGAGGGTTGTCCCGGGTTACTGTCAGTGGTGGTGCTCTGCACGGCACACGCACCTGTGAGCGTGTTCCTTGAGCTTGCCTCAGACTCCCCTGTGCACCAAGCTAATCCTTTGTCACCAGATATGTCACCTGGAGCATTCTGTGTGCTCTGGATTTCTGTTTGGAGTAGATGTTTGCTAAGCTGTTACTGACATCACAGTGTGTGTCATATTGCCTGAGTGACAAACACTGCCACATGGTGCCTTGCTGTGTCTGTGTGAACCTGACTGCACTTACTGTGCGGGGTGCTGTGGCTCCTGAGCACCTGCACAGGTGTGCACAGACGGGAGATGCTGGCTGTCACCCTCAGGTGGGTTTGTGGAAGCAAGTGTGAGTGGGAGCGACCTGTTGGCCTTCCGGAGGGCCGAAGCTGTGCACTGTGACTTCTTCCCTGATGGTGGCAGTGAGGAAGCCTCTTCCTGATTTGCCATTGCATCCCAGTCAGGATCTTATGTTCCATTTTTGTGGCATTGTCAAATACTTGTCTGCCCCATCAGGAATTTGGTGTGTTCTCTGTGGTCTTCTGAGGGATTGTCCATGATCTATGTCCTAAAAACCGCCTTTGTTTTCTGAAACGTGGGCTGTTACAGGTCTGTCCGTTACTTTTGATGGAAAGAGAGAAGATTACTTCCCTGAGTTAATGAAATGGGCCTCTGAAAATGGAGCATCTGTGGAGGGCTTTGAGACAGTTTACTTCAAAGAAGAGGGCTTTGGTTTGAGAGCAACGAGAGATATCAAGGTGAGTGCCTGCGGTGTCCACCTGAGGACATCGCGTGGGCAAGCGGGGAGCGTGTTGGAAACTCAGGTCTTCCCCCTGGGCCTGGAGGGGTCTCGGCCTGGCTGTGTCCCTCATGCTCCCTGCTGGCTTGTCCGCCTGAGCGCCCTGCTGCTGGCCACTGCCTTGGACAGGACTGTTCGCATGCAGAACCTCTGTTAGGAGTCTGTAGAGGGAAGCTTAGCGGGTTTTGAGAGTAGCTGAAGAAAAGCCAGTGGCCTTGGGGCTTGGAGGGAGAGTGCACAGGTGCTGGCAGGTGTAGCAGAGGGTGGGCAGGGCTGAGGGTGCCAGTCAGCATCTGCCGTGGACAGCAGAGTGGCTGAATGAATCAGCCACTGAAACGGTTCCCCAGAGGCAGTGAGGAAGAAGAGAGACTGGCGTCTGCCAAACGAGGAGTGGTTTGCTTTGCTGCTGTGCTTCAGACAAAGGCAGCCGCGGGCCCCACTCCTGGCCTCGCCTGAACTTCATCTGTCTGCTGAGCTTGGGAGATGAGCTGGCGTGGCCCTTCCCTTGGTGGGAACTGGTGGCTCACTTGAGCCCTCCGTGCCCTGCTGTCTGCACCCTCTCGTCTTTCGGGGGGGTTCTGTGTGCTCCTGGGATTCAGCAGGCAGTGTTTCAGGCAGCCACCTCTTGTGCCCTGTCACTGCTTAGGGCTGGGATGGAAGGGGGCACTTAGACATTTGTCCTCACCTCCCCCGGATTTCCTTTGGCCTTTCCCACGGACACTGACCTGGTCTGTCAGGCGTCTGCTCTGTGGATGGCTCCTTGTTTAGTATGCCAGGCTTCTGAGCAGGAAAGCCAGCTAACCAGCTAGCCAGGCACAGGAGCAGTTCCTTCATTGTGCTTATGGTCCATATAAGGGACAAGACGTGCGGACAGTTTCGGCTGCAGGCCATGATGAGGTCATACTGTTGCATGTCCTCCTCTTGCATCTGACCAGAGGCGTCATCAGTGTGTGAGCTCAGCGTGTCTTGCCGTGGCCTGTTCTGCGTGCTCTTGGTATCGATGTGTTTATTTTTGGTGTAATCAACCTGCATTTCTTAGAGCTGTAGAGGCCATAAGGTTTGATGTGGTCTGGCTGGTGAGGGCCACTTTCCTCCTTGGCAGGCACCCTGCTGCTGTGTCCTCCCAGGGTGCAGAGCTGTGGACACGTGTCCAGCAGTGCAGATACACACCAGGATGAGGGGTCCCCTGTTGCCAAAAATGAGATCTTCCTTTGGGGGAAAGTTTCAGGAACTTGTGCTTTGGTGGGGGGGCTGGGCCTTAGAGCCCAGGAGGAGGAATGTTGCTGCGGCTTCGAGAGTGCTTGGGGCAGTCACACTGATAGCTTTGGGTTTTAGTTGAATGCAGAAATGGTGCTTGAATTTGTTTTGGGAACTTTTAGAAGTATAGGGAAGAAGTCATCACCATTTTTGCTCCAAGTACTGCATTTGCTTCAACGTAAAGCTGCCAAGGCCTTCCTTGGGTTATTTGCCTTGTCAGTCTGCAACAGCATTTGGCACTATGCTGCTGCTCGACGAGGGCTCGCGTGGACCCTTCTGTTGGGAAACACGCACAGTGAGTCACTGTTGTTCACTCTGGATTTGTATTTCACATGTGGCTGAGTTTCTGACCACAGATAAAGTTAAGTTGAAGTTGGTAATGTGTTTTGACAATTCTGTTTTCTTATTTCTTATCCTCTAGGCAGAAGAATTATTTTTATGGGTTCCACGGAAATTACTAATGACTGTTGAATCTGCCAAAAGCTCTATTCTGGGTGAGGAGAACTCCTGTCTGCTTGTTCCAGGCAAAGCACAGTTGCCACAAACTCGTGGTTGTAAATTCCATTTTGTGGGGCTTCAGGACCTTATTTGATTGTTTTCCTAACTTGTGAAATATGTATCAGGTCTGTTTTTTTAGCTGATGACAAAAATGCACAAGACTTAAAAGGTTCTAAATTTTCTAAATTTTACTATGTATTTTGAATGAGTGCTTGAATGAAGTTTGTGGGACTTACACTGTTCATTTCTGGGTTAATTCAGGGCCCCTGTATTCTCAAGACCGAATTCTTCAAGCCATGGGAAATATTGCCCTGGCCTTTCACCTGCTGTGTGAGCGAGCCAACCCCAACTCTTTCTGGCAGCCCTATATCCAGACCCTCCCCAGCGAGTACGACACACCGCTCTACTTCGACGAAGATGAGGTTCGCTACCTGCAGTCAACACAAGCAATCCATGACGTCTTCAGCCAGTATAAAAACACAGCACGGCAGTACGCCTACTTCTACAAGGTTATCCAGGTGAGCCCTCGTTCACAGGGCCCGGTGGTTCGGAGAGGGAAGTGACCGCGCCAGCCTTCCGGAGCATCCTGCGTAGGACACTCCAACATCTGCTGCTCTTCACTGTTTCCGTTTTACAGTGGGACTACTGAAACACAGATAAATACAGATGCCTGCCTGAACTTGGCTGTGGTGTTAACACAAGCAGCAGGTGTTCCTGAGTTCTTATGGTCACGGAGGTTTTTTCAAGCAAGAGATTACAATGAAATTACAAAAGCCATAACAGGTAGTTAGTACGCAAAGGTGCTCTGTGTATAAATTTTCCAAGAAAATGAAAGTCCCTGTTGGAATTTCTCCTGTATGTTAGTAGTCAAAGACCGGTAGTTTAGTTCATTGTCATCTGATTTTGTTTGTTTTTTAAAATGTGCCACATATTGCGTTAGCTTTAATTGGTTGCAAGTAGCACTATCATAAAAATCTCTGTAAGGCACAAGCATTTAAATGACACCTGATTTCACACGATTGCACTGTTGGGATTTTGGCAGTTCTGCCAGCCCGGCTTTGGAAGCAGTTCAAGGCCAGGGCTGGCACCACATCCCCGCAGGGCTGAGCGCTGTCTCTGCCTCTTCTGGAGTCAGCCCCCGGCTGCTGTGCCTGCTCGCATGGCAAGTGCAGAAGTGAGCAGCTTGCTCCTTTTTCCTTTCTCCTTTGGCCACCAGAAATAGGCTTGACTTGATTGTTCTGAGTTTTCCTGTCGTTGTTAGGTTTAATTTGCAAGGAGTAGTAATATCTTTTTTGTAGATAGTATTGTTTTCCATATATTACTTTAACTTTACAGTGTGCTCACTACACAAGAATTTTTGCATTCTGTTGCTCTGCCCCCATCAACTAACTCCAGTAGGTTAAAAGCAGAATGATAATTCTTGTTGTCTTGAGGTGGAGGTCTGTGTGTGTCTAAAGCTGCAGCCTCAGTAACGATTGTACAGTTGGACATCGCTCCGTGTTTTCCGAGTTTGCCGAGGCAGCCCGCTCTGATGGAGCCGGATCAGGACGCAGCCTTCCGTGGCATATGCACCTGCACTCCCACAGGCCCAGCTGTTCAAGGCTCTTTGGGACCTGAGGCTTATGTGTTGCTTCTCAGTTCTCAGCCCTTCATTTTCGGTGATTGACAGTAAAACCGACCTTAGTAGGTCTGTCTTTGTGGTTTCTTATGGTTGGACGTTTCTGCTGCTCTGTTTCTCAAGTCTGTTGCTGCTTGTCAAAGGTTGTGGCCCTACTGTGAGAGGAGGCAGTTCTGGCGTCAGCCTGGGGTTGCCGGGTAGGGACAGGTCTCTGGCAGTGCTTTTGCGGTAAGTAGTTCCTGCAGCACTCAGGTCGTGGAGGTGCAGGAGCCGGGCTTTCCCGGAAAGAAGTGATGGAGACTGACCCTCGGCCCTCTCCTGCTGCGTGGAGAGTGCTTACAGAACCCAGACCCACGAGTTTGTTGAGAATATTTCCCCTGAGTGAAAGCAGTGTATTAGCATGTAACAAGGCCAAATGTCTTTTTTTTTTTTAAAGATTTGTTTATTTTTATTGCAAAGTCAGATATACAGAGAGGAGGAGAGACAGACAGAGAGGAAGATCTTCTGTCCGATGAGTCACTCCCCAAGTGAGCGCAACAGCTGATGCTATGCTGATCCGAAGCCAGGATCCGGGAATTTCTTCCTCTGGGTCTCCCACGCGGGTGCAGGGTCCCAAGGCTTTGGGCCGTCCTCGGCTGCTTTCCCGGGCCACAGGCAGGGAGCTGGAAGGGATGTGGGGCTGCCGGGACTAGAACCGGCGCCCATATGGGATCCCGGGCGTGCAAGGCGAGGACCTTAACCACTGCGCCACCGCACCAGGCCCAAGGTTACCCCATATCTTTACTGTGGTTTACAGTTTGCTTAAAGTCAAGCCTACCTCTGTGTGGTAGGCCTTGGGGTCCCTGTAGACTCCCCCAGCTTTCTCATCACATTCACCTCAAGGTGCTGAGTGTGTGTTGTATCTGGTGCCACACAGACTGTGGTGTGTAACCAGACTCCTCCAGCAAGCCGTGCTGGTGAAATGTTATACTGCAGCCTAACCAGAGAAGAATGTCCAGAAGCTAAGTTTAGAAATGGGCTGGGCTGCGTGTGGGAAAAGGCTTGTGTGCTTGAAAATCCTAGTTGGCGGCAAAATTTTTATCAGCGTCAAGTTGAAGTAGGTGTCTGACACTGTTGCAGGGTTTTCATAATCCTGTGCGAATGCTGCCGGGAGGTGAGGGCTCAGAAAGCTCAGCTCCAGGTCAGGACTCATGGAGTAGGTAGCCAGTGTGGTGGTGCAGAAATCAATGGAAAAGCAGGATTCGACTTAAAGCCGGATCACAAGAGGTGGTCGGGAAGCAGATTGTGTGAGCGGCTTGGCCTGACCAGGCTGAGTGGTAGCCCAGGTGTTTTCCCTGCTCGTGGACCTTTCCTGCCCAGCCACCAGGGCAGGTGCTACTGACGGGGGCCAGCTCGTCTTGGCAGGAAGGGCTCTCTCTCTCTCTCTTTTTTTTTTTAAGATTGATTTATTTATTGGAAAGTCAGATATACAGAGAGGAGGAGAGACAGAGAGGAAGATCTTTCGTCCGATGATTCACTCCCCAAGTGAGTGCAACAACCGGTACTATGCTGATCAGAAGCCAGGATCCAGGAACCTCTTCCGGGTATCCCACACGGGTGCAGGGTCCCAAGGCTTTGGGCCGTCCTCGGCCGCTTTCCCAGGCCACAAGCAGGGAGCTGGATGGGAAGTGGAGCTGCCGGGACTAGAACTGGCACCCATATGGGATCTCGGTGCGTTCAAGGTGAAGACTTTAGCCGCTAGGCCACGCTGCTGAGCCCCTTTCTAATTTATTTTATATTTATATGAAAGAGCTGAACACAGAGAAGGAGAGTCGGAGAGGTCTTCCTTCACTGGTTCTCCCCCCCCTTCCCCATAGCCACAATAGCTGCAGCTGACCTGGTTTGAAGCCAGGAGCTTCTTCCGGATCTCCCACAAGGGCAGGGACCCAAAGACTTGAGCCATCCTCTGCTGCTTTCCCAGGCCAGAAGCGGGCAGCTGGATGGGAAGAGGAGCTGCCAGGACACAGATTGGTGTCCATATGAGATGCTAGTGGTGCAGGTGGATGTTGTGTGGACTTCACCATGGTGCTGATCCTCCCCCTCTTTTTCATTTCATAGGTCTCTTAGTGTAGGGGTTTCTGTCACCCTTAATTTGATCACGCAGGTACAGCAAGGTTGGAGATGGAGAGATTCAGTTGTGTACCAACTGCTCTTTGACTTCAAGGCAAGCGTCCACTGCTGCTGTCTGAAGTCTCACCTGGGGCCGGGCGGTGCTGAGCCCCCTTCCCACTCGGGCTGTGTCTCCTGCTTGGCCACGGCTGTTCCAGAAAGAGGGCAGCTGAGAAGCAGAGGGGCTGCCCCGTTCGTTCTTGGCATTGCTTGGCTGAGTGGCTCTGCCCAAGCAGTCATTTCTCCTGTTTCAGGCTGTGCCGTCCACTTTGGCAGAGCCACATGGGATAGCACAGGGTGTGCATTTGCACAGATGCCTTGAACTTGTGTTTCCAGAAAACTCTCTCTTCTGCTTTCAAAAATTTGTAGGAGAAGCCTCTGGGCCAGGTGTGCGTTGGGGCACAGTGGGTGAAGCTGCCGCCTGGGATCCCTTGGGATCCCTGCATCACATGTTGTAGTGTGGATTTTAGTCCTGAATCCTCTGTTTCCTGTTTAGCTCGCTGGTAGTATGCCTGAGAAAGGTCCCAAGGCTTTGGTCACCCTACCGTGACTTTCACAGAACTTCCACCTTTGAAATCAAGTCTTAGCTAACCATAGTGCGGCCATCTTCCCCGGAAGCTCATTTTGGCCTGAGACTGTCTCCTCGTCTGCAGACCTCGTGTGCAGCGTATCAGCTGTCCCACTAAGGCTAGGTCCCCATCCTGAACCCCATGTTTCATTTAGCTGTCACGTCTCCATTGCCTCCATCCTGGGACTGTGGCGCAGGCCTCCTGACATCGCAGGAGAGTTCTCCTGGCCGGCCCCTTTGCAGAAGCCTCTTTGTCAGTAGCATTTTCACATATTGAGATTGAGGTCATGCAGTTTGGCCAAACGCACCAGAAGTGATGTTGTGTGCTGCTCAGGGCGGTGTGGGTTGGGTAGTCTCATGACGTAACTTTCCCCCCGTAAATTGTCGTTTGTCCTTTGTAATGTATGAGTGTCTTGCAGGAAGCCACTTTTGAGAGCCTCGAGTGTCCTGTTCCTCACTGTACTGTCATCCATCAGTTCTCGCAGCCTCAGGACTCCTGTCTGGAATGGTTGTGCTGTGGTGTTTACCAACTGGCAATTTTCTGCTTCTGTTATTCCTTCTCTCTATGTTAATTGAAAGCTTAGTGTAAGGAAGAGCTGTCTCTTCCTGTTCTTAAAATTCGCTGTTATTCGCAGCCGTGTGGGCTCAGGGCTGTTTATTTCATGGGTTATGCAATACATTATTACATGAATTGCTTAAGATGGCTGTGCCTGTCGAGGTATCCGACTTCCTGCTTAGTTATAACCACTTCGAAGTGTGTGTGTGTTGAAGCAGGGCAGCCACCGGGAATCCAGATGCATGAAGACACTTAACGGAACTTGTTGGGATCAGTCACTTGAGAGCCACCCAGCTCCTCTGCGCCTTGGTGCCCCTCTTGTGGCTGCGGACACACCTTCCCAGCTGTCACTTCCACTGGCTTTGCCTGGAGACAGATGAATGTGTTCTGAAGGTGACATGCTGGTTTTCCTCCAGCTTTGCAGCAAGGTCACATTTACCAGCTGAGCGTGTGAGCTGCAGAGGTGAGAGGGAGGGACTGATAGGCACAGGTGTGCAGGGTGACAGGCAGTGGCTCTGACTGTGGAGCGATTCCTGTCTGCTCGATCAGCTAAGGTGGCTGGGGGCTCTGCAGTGTGCCTGTGGAACTGTCCTGGGGAGGGCCCAGCAGCCCCGGAGCCATGGTGGGA